AACTGCATCTTGTTTCCGTCTGCGTGTTCCAGAAATACATCCTCGGTACCCAAAGGATCTCTGGCTAAGTGACTTTTTTCCCCTTTACCACAAAGCTATCAATATGTCTGCCTCCTGACACGGCCTGCTCTCTCTGTGGACACGCATGTGGACTCTGAATGCTGACTGCTGCTCGCTGCATACTGCTGCTGGACCTCTTCCAGGACGCTCCATTGTAATACAGTTATTTTTGGACAAGCCGACGCAAATAAATATTTATAGTTGTTTGCAGGTCAGGGGTCCCAAAGAGGAGCGGGGTGGGGTTGGGGGTGGTAGTGAATAAACTACAGTGAGTATCTACGTAAGCATGAATAAGGGTTCGATAAAGCAAGATAGGACGAAACATTTATTTTTAAAACAGAGGAAATATGGAAAAATCAACATTGAGATCATTTCTATCAACAGTCATTCTGCTGAGGCTACAAAATAATTAAAGTGGAGAGTTTCCTGGTGCCTTATCGAGTTATTCCTTACAATGTGGTGGTCAGATTTCTACTCACTCTTTCCCTGTCATGTGCCCTGCTGCAGATCACTTTCAGTTCAAACTTCAGTGTGAATGTAGATATGTTTCAATGGAAATTATTAAACTTGTCACTTCCCTCCACTTCCTTTTAGATATATCCTTCACAGGAGATACTTCTACGCAAAGAGACTGGAGTGACCCAGACGGAGCCTTAGTCTGGCTGATGAACGAGCAGCACCAGAAGGGAAAATTTAAGGTTCAAGGAAATTAAGATAAAGCCAGCGGAGCCAAAAAATAAAATAAAAAATGATGATTGGATGGTAACATTTTCCTGTGGTCTCCTCCAATGACCAGAAATCTGGACAGACTGTGAGGGAATATTGTGTTTCCGTCATTGTTCGTCTAGCACAACTTTGAGTCTAAATATAGGTTATGAAGGAAAGGCTGGGGCCACACATGCAACAAAAAAGACACAAAAACACGATGAGTCACTGTGTGCTTTTATTATGAAATGAGGATTCTATTATTAGTCTGTCCTATATCAGAAGAATTCAGAAAAAAAACTGTTTTTGAACTAATTCACAAAGCTGTGAAATTGAAGCTGTGACAGAGAAACTTTGTAATTTTTTGTTATTTGATGTTAAATTATTCTAAAGATGATCTCAAGATGATTTGACTGATAGAAATGTTGAGTCTGTCCTGTTTCTTTTTCAATTATTTATCATATAAGAGATTGTCAACAGAGTGTGAGTAGTCAGACCATACAGAGAAAACAAAGAAGTAATAGATCAGTTTCAGCCCAGAACATTCTGTCCTTTTTCCACTCTGTCTCATTGTTTTGACAGAGAAAAAACAAATAAACAATGTGGACCACCCAATCCGCTTTTTCAAACTAAATTTGTATTTTGCGCCATCGTTAAACGTATCTGGAAAATTAGGAACTTCTAGTTTACACTGCCCAAATAAAGCCTCATCTGGACCCTTCTTACAAACCACAAGGCCAAACAAAAAAACAGCAACTCAACCAGTTATCATCCCTCATCAGCACCTCGATTGTTGAGGAGAGATCAGAGGGAACGTCCACATACATCCAGCGGCCTCTGATGTGACAGCGAGGGTTTATGGGACAGGAACGCCAGAGCCCCGCCCCGCTTCACCTTGACCCCGCCGCCCCCACCCCCCCTCGCTTCCACTACCGCCACTCTCTCTGGTCTGACCTCGTCATCCTGGGCCCTCTGGCCTCGCCTCTGACGGCTGAGTTATTACCATAATTACCCAGTAGGCATTGCAGGGAGCGGCGGCATGGCAGAGGCCGTCCATGTTTAACAGAATATTTGGGTGTTTTATCGACTTTAACTCGGCCCTGGGGGCAGGCGAGAGGGGGCACAGATGATAAGAAAACCATTCATGTGGGAAATGAAGAGGGCCGTTTCACAGACGGAACCAGGAAGGGGATGAAATATACGCTTAATGCAGCGGTGACCAGTGCACATATGTCATATATTCACCGAGACAAGGTGTAAACATGCTCATATATTCAGTCCAACAGAAGGACTTTGTCTGAGACGACAACTACCTAAAGATGCACCTTAAACATTAAATTATGGAAAAAGTATTTGGATTTCTTCTTGTCAACAAGAAATATGTCATGCCCTGAGGTGGAATGAGGTAGATTTAAAAATATGGTATGTTTTATTTATTATTCTCAGCAGGGGTCTTCAAATCAACAGACAGAAGGGGGTTAGGTTTAGGGTAAAAATGTACTTTTTACTGTGTTGTTTCTTACCTACTCAGCATCAGAAACTTAAAGAAGCCTTTTCCATGTCGGTGAAATTTGCTCACTTCAAGTCAATGGGATCAAACAGCAACTTCTGCTTACATGGCAGTTCAACTTACAGTCAAACTGAGCAGAGGGTTATAAAAAGGTATCCAGGGAAAAGTGAAATTCACCCCACACTGAACTATTGCTTCAAGGATCGGATTGTTTTCTTCCTCAAATGATGAAAAATTCAAACACACTTTGCACGTGAGCTGGATTTTTTCCCAGAAGTTTCAGATGTGTCTTTAAGAAAGCTCTTAATAATCATTATCTTTACTGCCATGTCTAACCAGCCAGGAGGCCATGCATATTCAAACAGATAGAGTGAAAAGTACGGCCCGGCCTGACATAAAGAGGGCACAGGGGTCGTTGGAATCAGGCCAGCAACATACACACAGACAAAGATTGTGTACAATGAGCACACACTGCGATTAGTATTTGCTCTTAAGAGCTCAGTCAAAGCCGCACAGTTAAATATACAAACACACTCACATTTACACATGCCATCACCTGCTCAGAAAGGTCAACACATTAGCATTCCCATACACGCCGTATTCAGACTTTCCTCGTCCTATAAAGCTACCCATCAAACATGTCCAAGATGGCGCTCAGCCGTGTGTGCTCGTGTCTTATTATGCAGACCCATCTGTGTGGGTTCAAAGGTCTTGGCCGGGCCTGGCAGGGGCTACAGGTGAGCAGATGAGAACAGTAGGGGCTCGGTTTAATTTAGCTAAGCGCTACAGGACGCACGGCACTCCTGTACCCAGGAAGGACAAGTTGAACTTTTCACACAGTGCCTCAGACTCATCACTTCAACGGGCGGAAAGTCGAGGAAAAATGAGTAATAGAGTTAAAAAAAAACAAAAAAAAAACAAGCCTTTGACACAAAATGTGTTCCTTTGTGGCTTAGTTGCTTTTTTGTTTTGTGTGGGACTTATTCAAACAAAGAGACAAGCACAAAAACACAAAGCTACACACATATACAGTATATCTGTCACCAAGTCTCTGTTTTGACCTCCCTTTCCTTTCCTTTTCCCTCCAACTGACACACATCCAAACACACAATATACACAGACATACTGACAGAAGATGACAGTCAGCAGTATGTGTGTGTGTGTGGGTGGGTGTGCGTGTGTGTGTGTGTGTGTGTGTGTGTGTGTGTGTGTGTGTGTGTGTGTGTGTGTGTGTGTGTGTGTGTGTGTGTGTGTGTGTGTGGGTGTACTAGTTTCAGGGTGTGAGGGAGAAAATCCCATATCTGGCATGGACCCGCTTCCTGTCTAGACTCTGCATGAGGAGGCCAGCACTAACCTGGCCCGTGCAGCAGTGTGTGTGTGTGTGTGTGTGTGTGTGTGTGTGTTAAGTTTGTGTGAGTGTGATTTCATACATGCACATTGTGTTTATGTGCATGACGTTCATGTACGTGTGCGCAAAGAAACCTAGATCACGTGTGTATCTTGTAGAGAGGGTCAACATTATCATTGCACTTGTGAAAATGAAAAGCTCAAGATTAACCTCTTGCACTCAGATCTCCTCTCCATGTCTGCTTTCAATTGGACACTTTCCAGTAAAGCTCCTTTTTTTTGTGTGTTCTCTCTTGTTTTGACACTTTCTCTGCCACGTGTGCCAATCCTGCATCAATCCCAAAAGCCAATTCCCTCATTATCCGAGTTGCAGCACTTACGGGAAAACAGAGGTGGGGGTGCGGAGGGTTAAAGTTGGAGGGAAGTGGAAAAAGCCTGATGTGGTTTTGTCTAAAATTCCATCGAAAAAGCAAAGAAGAGCTTCGAGAAGAACTCAAGAGTCTGCAGTTTCTTCTCTTTTTCTCTGTGCTTCCTTAACACAGTTGACCAGCAATATAAATGGTAGTGAATAGTGTATACTTAAAGCCAAATAACATAGAAACAACAGGGAAAACAAAGAAAGTGAAGTCAGTGAAAAAGAATCCTTCTTGGTTTGGTAACTTGATTAAATAGAGCTGAATCATAGCGTGAATCGCTGACAGCCTTAAACCATCAATCATTTGCACAAATGCTGCCATCGCTAATCACAACAAACATCCCCGAGCACAGCAACTGTCTGCTGCCGTCTTACTGAGTGCTAATCAAAGCGTGCTAAGTGTGTATTGCCCGAGCTTTAGCAGAATTAACCTGGAGTGTGAATCAACATCATGGCCGTCACTTTTTCATATTCATGCAGCGGCCGAATGACACCTTGTCCTCTGCTTTGCAAAAGGCCTTAACTCAGCAGATTCAGCACCCCTTTAGACTCAGATGTAAAGTGAACAGGCCTCACCTCTGTGACATCACGCCGACACAATGTGCTGTCTTATGGGAGCAAGCCTTCACACAGGCCTGCGAAAAGATCTCAGTGGCCAAAAAGTCAGGAAGAGCAAATGACTATTGATTTTTAAGGGTGAAAAATAAAAGTGGATGCAAATATTTGGGGCCAACGTCCTTGTTTAGCACTTTTCTTGCAAAATTCCAACAAACGTGATCAATATTTTAGTGTTGAAGTATAATCAAGTGACAGTTTCATTTTCTGATTAGAATTATGTAGGTTAGTGGTTTTCAAACAATTGCTTTTTCACCTGAGACAACTATAGCTCCTAAAGTCAAGGACCCATTTGGAGTCGTCTGACAGCTAAAACAAAAGTAAAACAGAAGTTCATTCTGGACTCACAGTCAGAAGGAGCCGACTCAATGAAGATGTGGTCGTCCCCTCATGTCTCCTGTTGAGTCAGCAACATTTAGCTAACACGTTAGCGATGTTAGTGTGTGTCTGTCCTCTCCTTTGAAGGTCTTCTGCCCTCTAGTGGCCACGTAAATATTCAAATGAATCGGTTTAAAAAGCGAGCGGGAGGCCCAGGTTCGCCTCCACCCGTGGCCCCCCTCCGCATGTCATTCCCCGCTCTCTCTCCCTGGTTTCCGACTCTATCCACTGTCCTCTCTCTGCATTAAAGGCCCAAAAAGCCCAAAAATAAATCTTTAAAAAAAAGGGAAACAATATAGAATGAATGAAATTATTAAGCACATGATTTTTTTAAAAAAAGATGAAAGTAGAAAAAATACATTCACTTCACAGGATCAAGAAGTGGATGTGATCAAACATTTTTAACATGCTTCTGAGTTACACTAGAAATACTTGAAGCGATGCTGTGAGTCTATACATTTTATGACGTATGTTTAGCTTTGTGTACATTTTAGTGCTCCTACAATGAGAAACACATTAAACAAATTATGCTGAAGCAATTATACCATGGAACAGTGGAGTGTTTCATCGTTCAGTTAACCTTTCCCTTGGTCAAAGAAATTAGTTTTCTATTTCAAAGGTTACATCATTTTTTTTTTTTCAATTAGGGGTTAGTAAGTAGAAGCATTGCATTTCTAGATTTCCTCAGGCAACAGAAGATGGGCAGTTCCTTAAAATGCTTTTAAGTAGGGTTCAGAACTGTCAGAATAGGCTAGCCTCGATTTACAATCGACATGCAGTCTGCTCGTCTTCATGGTCATTTTTCTACAAGGAGCCAGGGTAGTGAATGGGGAGGTCAGATAATGTTGGAAAACTTTGGAGAAGCAAGAATCAGTGCGCTTTGAATCATTGCTACCCTGACGCACTTTGTTAAAACATTGTCCAAACATTCAATCTCTCATCGTTAAGGATCATTTTAATCCGTTGGGAAGCTGCCGTCGTGTAAAGTAAATGTAACTAACTGCGCACACACCTCAGTCACAACAACGAAAAAGTGACAGAAAAGCTTTTGCTGACTCTCATGTGATCTCACCTTAAGTCATCGTCTAGCCGGTGTTGTAGTCCTTTCCTACATACATGTATTAACACAGCTGATGACTAACACAGATGTTGGACCAACAGAATGAGTCATTTACATTGTATGGCCGTGACATATACACATCACTGTCTCCGCTGGTGTGGGTTTTAGGGGTCTCCTGTTGGCATAACCCATTCCACTCTCTCCCAAAGTATGACTCAGAGGCTTGTTACCCCGGGACGGAGCAGACTTTGCTGGGCTGGCTTGTCACTGTGCTGTAGTAAAGGAAATCTGGCAGGATGCTGCTTAGTATTTGGGGTCCGTCTGACTCCGTCTAGACAGCTTTAAGCAGCCTGACTGAATGTGCGTGTGTCTTTGTGTGTGCCTTTGCTTGTCTACTCAACAAACCATGATCAAATCTTTTTCAAATTATCCTCTAAGTTTTATAAACATCACAGTGTAGATTACTGCTGTGCTAGAAGATTTTGAGCGCAACAGTTGTAGTTATGACGAGTCCAGTCAGCAGGAAGGTTACCAACATTATGGTGGTGGTGGTGGTGGTGGTGCTGGTGGTGGTGGTGGTGGGGGGGGGCAATTTTTCCTCTATGTGCTGCTACCAGCATGTGTTTTTGTTTTCATCCTCCAGTCTGAAGCTGCATTCCTTTTCCGTGTGTTGTGCGAGACGGAGAGATTGCCGGAGAGTGACTCACTAAAACCTGACCGAGCGGTGAGGTCATCACTGGAGGACGCGTGGAGTAAAAGTGAACTTTGATGCTGATGTCTGGAATCATGTCTAGGAATCCCCAGACAGTTTGGAATAGTTCAGTGTGTGTGTGTGTGTGTGTGTGTGTGTGTGTGTGTGTGTGTGTGTGTGTGTGTGTGTGTGTGTGTGTGTGTGTGTGTGTGTGTGTGTGTGTGTGTGTGTATGTGTGTGTGTATGATGACATAATTTCTGTGCACCAGAACAGTTCCATGTGATGTTGTGTGTATGGCCTCTTGATTACGACCCAAAACCCCATTACACAATCTCTCCAAGAAAACTTGATAAGACAAACGGAAAGAGATGCTCAACGCTGCTGCTGTTTCTCATTCTGATACAACCAGAGAAGAAGAAATAAAGGAGAAACGCAGCACAATAAGAAAGTGATGACGATGATGCCGATGGAAAGGAAGAGTTCTGATCTCCGTTTTGTACTTTTAAGTAGGTCAACAGATTCAGATTCATAGAGTGCTGTGTTTATTTGAAAGTCGATGTGACTCATGCAGCGTTTATCTTATGGAATATTAAGCTCATTGACAAACATTGTGCTAGAATTTCTGGACTCTTTAATGTAGGACACTTTTTAAGCACTACATGTACACTAGAGGGCCACTTTATGAGGGACAACAATCAGTGTATTTCATAACTACTGAAAGCTACTGAAGCTACAACCTCATTAATAATAATAAATAAATAAAGTAAATAAAGTAAAAATGTAAACCTCTCTAATACCATAAATCAAATCTGAGCTTTAAAGTCTTTGTAAAAGTGGATGAGCTCTGATGCATTACATAAGATTTCCAGATGTAAACAATTAAGTGGCTACTTAATTTACATTTAATAGTTTCAAATATTGACTTTTTCTGCTTTTATGTCAGTTTGCAGACACCGGCAGCAGACATTGTTTGTTAAGCAGCATCACCTGCTGGCTTAATGGAGAATTGCCAACAGAATGCTTTCTACCTTAGGATGGGACATCGAGCTGTGGGACATCTCACATATTTCATGTCAGACAACAACACATTTTGAGTTTAAATGTTGAAATGAACTTGTGTTTGGAAATGTAAAAAAGATAAAAAGTGGTTTAAAAAAAGATGCTCCTTCAGAACAAATACAGAAAAAAACAAAAAGAGAAATGACTTTATGTTGGGTCACATTTGTCCTTAACTCATCCCTGAATTATTTCTGAACTTTTGAGATAAGCCTCAGAGCAATGTAACAAAGTATGCAGTGAGGACTGTGGGAAAGTGGCTGAGGGATACCAGGGACCTGGGTACTTGTCCCAAAATAGTTTCACAATGGCTCTGAAGACATCTCATTCCCCGCTCAAACTCCCATTTAGGGTTTGGACGGCTCACACAACACTGAGCCAAAGTTATGAATGAAGACGTTTCAGCCAGAGACAAAGTGATGTTACGGGAAACCTATTTCCAAACAATAAACAGAAACAGACCCTGTTCCAATAGAGCATTTAAGACTACAAAAACTGAGGGGAATGGCTGTTAACAGCTTTCACTGTTTGCCCACTTCAGCCATCACAATGAAGCTTTAGGGAAACTTTAGGGAAACTGAATGTTGTTTAATGAAACGGTGACTCAAGACCATTTTTATCCAACTGTGAATGAAGCAGAAGAAAGACTGAGCAATGTTTCTTACATTTTCAAACAAAACCAAAAGAAAGGGAAATGACTCGCCATCACGCACCTTTCACAAATTAAGTGAAGTTAATCTCATAGCACGGACATCTGAATGCAGAAAAGGAAAAAAAGAGACAATATGTGAGAGGGTCAGATGGGCATGTATGAAATAAACATTACCACTTTAAAAAAATTGTAAGTTTAGAAGGAAATTACCACGTAAAAAAAAAAATCTATTTCAAATTAATTTCCAATAAAAGCAAACTTGTTTGCACACACAGGCACCTGATGAGCCGCAGCCAAATATTTACCAAGTTTGGACATTATATGAAATCACTCTTGCTATGCAAACTGGTAGGCAAAAGAAACATAGGGAAATACCAGACCCCATGTTTGGATACGGGGCCTCCAGTGGTTGAGTGAGCTTTGACCTAAAATAGGTCTGAGAATGTGGATATGCTCTATGAATAGAGATAAAACAGACCCTGGAGTGAGGGAAAAATCAAAAAGATAAAATAACTTGAGGGCCTGCAAATAAACCTTTAAGACTTTAGTGCAGAAAAATGGTTTCAGTGTTAGATGGCGGTTTGCAGAGGGCATGGGAAAAGCTGCACTGACAGAGAAAAAACGTTGGTTCTTTTGAACTGTGATGTGCTCATGTAGCCAGAATGTGAAGTCTGAAAGGATTTCTGTGATTTAAGAGCATATTCTGACAACAGGATATGAATTTTGCGGTTCTTTTTAAGAAGTGCTTAAGCAAAAGAGCAGACATAATGGACCACATGGTGAGTGTTACAGGAACAGTTATTGTCTTTTTGTGGTTGCTTTTATCTGAAATTCTGGAATATTTCAGCGTTGTCCATATTTATGAAAACACTTGAAATGAGTATTTACTGGTATGTTTACATTTTGTTATAATATTTCAATACCTACACCAAAGATTGCTTTCCTGATTCAAAAGAAAACAAACATCGAAACAACATCCATTTGTAAAAAAAAAGAAGACTATTTTATTAAATGAATAGAGGAAAATGTCAATTTCTTAAAGGACAACTGTGAGTACCATCGTTTGCCACTAGAGGGCGCAAACAATCCCCTGCGTAGGATAAAACAACAACTAACACCTCTAAGACAGTAACACCACAAGAGGCTGTAAAAACATACAGAAGGATCGCAATGCCCCTTTTTTTATGTAAATAAAATGCCTTCATAAATGAGAGTAATTGAGATGATTAAATCTGAAACTTTCTCATTAAGATGACGACGTAAAATGAAACCTCATGACATTTTACATGTGTATAAGGTCCCAGAGGTAGTCACGCGGGGTCTCACGGAGCCCTGTTATAATTTGGACTCTCCCGGGGTGTCTGCGGTCCCTCCTCCGTCAAACGTCAGAAAGTAGCTGTATAAAAAACATGCGAGTCCATAGCGAGCGCTCAAAGTCGCTCATCCCTCGTCAAGCTGCCAGTGTGCGGTCTGCCTGCTCACAGACAACACAGCTGCTGCACGACACTTCACCAAGACAGAGAGAAGAAGAGAAACACAGCGAGCTGCTAAATCTTCTGGCCTGAGAATGCAAAAGAAAAATC